AGCCGAGGAAGGCTGTAGTCCACCGACCTGAGCAATCAGGCGGTGTGTAGGGCTACGGCTGGCTGCGATCCACCGAGTGATGGGACAGCGGTGTGTAGGGCCGTAGTCTCCGAGGATCTTCGCCCACCGACTGAGTTTAGCTCAGCGGTGTGTCGGGCTTGATCCGCTACGGTCCACCGACTTTACTCATCAACGGTGTGTAGGGTCGTAAGTCCCCCCTTGTTAAGGGGATCGCGGTCCACCGACTGTGCGCGTCAGCGGTGTGTCGGATCGTGGTCCGACGTTGAGTTCGTCAGCGGTTCTCAAAGGGTTGGTTGCGATCAACTCCCCTAGTACCACGGTACTGAGGTAGGGTGCTGTGGGACCGTGTTAATGCTATAAGCATTAACCCTCATGTTCGGGGCATGCTATTGGTCCCGTGGCGCCATCAACGATTATGTGATATGAATGGTGATTTAATAATGATGTGTTTTAATTGGAAAGCGATCTGTGACCTTAGATGCATATTCCTTATGATGTTATCTCTACTTAACTGTTTATTATTGTTTGATGTGATTATCCCTAATTGCTGAGTCTATTCCCGGTTTTTAAAACTAGTGTCTCTTAGGTATATATCTTCCTGCTTCAAAATGATTTTCGTATATCTATATATATCTATCTATAATGTATTTCAACGCGTTGGAGTGGGTTACCGGCATTTCTCGTTGAACAGATATATTTGGCTTTCAGGCACCGATGAGTAGATCCCAGAGCGCGCTAGAAGACCGTGGATTAGATAGATAGTCTTTCCTTTCGGCCTGCGTGCCACAATGATGTATTGAGGATATTTAGTTAGTCTAGCCTGTGCATCTTAGTTCTCCAGCTCAGATGTGGCATAGCACCCCGTACACTTACAATTAGTAACGCTCTGTTTGGGATTTTATGAGAAATTACCTTTATCATATAAGTTTTAAAAGTTTCAAAATCTTGGGGTGTTACAGAAGGGCTCAACATATGAAACTTGCCTAGCTCCTCCAAGGCTCCTGGGAAACAAGAAGTCGAAAAAGTAAATAAACCATTTCCAAAGCAAGAAAAGAAGGAAGTGATGAGTGTGAAAGCTACTCCAATGACAGTCTTCACTAAGACAACCGAAAGGCCTAGGCCAAGATCATTTTCTAGCCCGTCAAGGGGTGGTAGAAGGCCGACAATTGAAGAAAGTCAGGAGAAGACTTATCCTTTCATGGATTCCGATGTATCTTCTATGTTTGATGAGCTACTCAAACTTAGACTCATTGAGTTGTCGGAAATGAAACGTCCTGATGAAGCTACAAGGGTGGATGACCCAAATTACTGTAAGTACCACCGTCTTCTTGGTCACCCAATTGAGAAATGCTTTATCTTCAAAGACAAAGTTATGGCACTGGCCAGGGATGGGAAAATTGAGCTCGCTGATCCTATCCCTCCGAGCTATGAAGGACCTTGGTATATCTACGGATGAGCTTGCCCAAAGTCGTCTAATGATACAAGGCTTCAACCAAGGAGGGCAAAGATTAATCGGCATCATCAGACTTGACTTAAGAATTGGAAGCCTAAGTTCGGGTGTCCTCTGCCACGTCATAGATGCGAGGACATCTTATAACTTGTTACTTGGAAGGCCGTGGATACATGAAAATGGGGTGGTGACCTCGTCTTGGAATCAATGCCTCATGTTTGAAAATAACGGTGTAGTTGAAAAGGTTATCGCCGATGAAAGCCCTTTCACAGAGGCTGAGTCTTACTTCGCGGATGCAAAGTTCTACATTAAAAGGAAAGTTATTGTTGAAGATATTGAGGAAAGAAATGATGATCCACCTTCCCAATCAAAGTCAAAGGGAAAACAAGTTGTAGAGGGAGATCAACACAACACGAAACTCATCTTCCAGCTTGCAAGGATTGATACACTCAAAGCAAATGCAGCAAAATCATCCGAAGATAAAGGTGGTGATAAAGTGGGCCAAATATTCCCTGCCAAGCGTATCGAGGGTTTCGACCCTAACGCTTATAAGCTTCTAGCCAAGGCTGGCTATAACCCCAATGAGCCATAGAAGTTGGGAAAGCTTATCCCAGAAGCCGGTGGTAAAGGCAAGGCAAGTCACCAAGAACCTCAAACGTGCAAAGGGTTGGGCTATGTCCCCCCTAAACCAGTGCGAATTCTTATAAACAGGGCTGCAAGTAATTGTATATCCGCGAAGGGAAGCGAGTATGACCCAAAACTCACTCCTTCCAATGATAATGGGCAAGACAAAAAGAAGTCAGTCTTCGACCGAATCGGTAAGGCGGACTCTCGGCGCTCAGTCTTTGATAGACTGGGGTCAAATCCTAAAGCCCTATAGGGAAAGTCAATGCATGATCGACTTGGAGCTGTCCAAGTTGTTAAAGACAGTGCCAATGTTCCTGCTGAAGTGGAACCTCCCAAAAGGCTTAGAAGCATGATTCCTTCTTGGATGAGACGAGAAACATATATTCATGTTTCATGTGGTGAAGTGTTGAAAGTCCAACCGAAGACCATTGTACAGACTCGTGTACATAAAGTGGAAAATGAGGAAAGCATAGGCTCAAGTGATGATGTACCACCAACCACTCAGGGATAGGTGGCATCGTCGTTCCATATCACTTTGTGTGGTGCGACCCCGATTGAGGGGGAAGATGCAGAGGATGCACCCCATGAGTTAGAAGAAGGGGTATGAGCCGCGGTGGATGAATTAAAAGAAGTTGATCTGGGAACTCCTGAAAATCCTCGTCCTATCTCCATTATCGCACTCCTATCTGATGAAGATGAAGAAATCTATGTCACATTGCTGAAAGAATATATTGATGTCTTTGCATGGACATACAAGGAGATGTCAGGGTTAGACCCAAAGGAAGCTGTGCACCGCTTAGCAGTGAAGAAGGGGTGTCGTCCGGTTAAGCAAGCTCAACGACGCTTCCGCCCCGAGCTCATTCCCTCGATTGAAACAGAAGTTAATAAGCTTATTGAGGCTGGCTTCATTCGTGAAGTTAAATATCCAACCTGGATATCCAGTATTGTACCCGTGTGCAAGAAAAACGGCCAGATCCGCGTCTGCATAGATTTTCGGGACCTTAATGTGGCATGCCCGAAAGATGACTTCCCGCTTCCTATCACGGAGTTAATGATAGATGTCGTGACTGGGCATGAGATCCTGTCATTCATGGATGGCTCCTCCGGTTGCAATCAAATCCGCATGGCGCCGGAAGATGAAGACTTAACTGCATTTCGAAAGCCAAAAGGCATCTACTGTTACAAAGTAATGCCCTTTGGTTTGAAAAATGCAGGTGCTACATACCAACGGGCTATGTAGACAATATTTGATGATATGCTACACAAAATGGTCGAAAGCTACGTAGATGACCTGGTTGTGAAGTCGAAGTTGCGCACAAATCACTTGGTGCATTTATGGCAAGTCTTCGACCGCCTACGAAAGTTTCAACTCAAAATGAATCCCTTGAAATGTGCTTTTGGGGTTGCTGCTGGAAAGTTCCTCGGGTTTACTGTTCGACACAGGGGCATCGAGATTGAACAAGCCAAAATTGATGCCATAATGAAGATGCCTGAGCCAAGAAACCTTCATGAGCTTAAAAGCTTACAAGGGAAGTTGGCTTACATCCGAAGGTTCATATCAAACCTAGCGGGAAGATGTCAACCTTTTAGCCGGTTGATGAAAAAGGGCATCCCATTCATATGGGATGAGGCATGCAAGAACGCATTTGACAGTATCAAGTCATACTTGATGAAGTCTCCTGTGCTAACCGTTCCTGTTCATGGTCGCCCGCTGATCCTTTATATCTCCGCCCAAGACAGTTCTGTGGGCGCCTTCCTTGCTCAGGAAAACGACAAGGGGAAAGAGAATGCTCTCTACTATCTCAGTAGAATGATAACCCCGAACGAGTTAAAGTACTCCCCAATTGAAAAGCTATGTTTGGCACTTGTGTTCGCCATCAAAAAACTTAAGCACTACTTCGAGGCTCATACCATCCGGCTTGTTTCCAAAGCAAACCCGGTGAAATATGTTATGTCGAAGGTCGTTCTCTCCGACGGCCTCGCAAGGTGGTACTTATTGATTCAATAGTTTGAAATTATATATGTGCCGCAAAAGTCTGGCAAGGGGCAAGCCTTAGCCGATTTCCTAGCAGACCACCCAATACCTGCTGAATGGGAGTTGTCTGACGATTTGCCTGATGAAGATGTGCTTGTCATTGAAGTCCTACCCCCATGGAAGATGTACTTTGCTGGAGTTGTCTTCGTCACTCCAGAAAGCGAAGTGTTGCCATATTCATTCACCTTGACCGAGCAATGTTCAAACAATGTTGCTGAGTACCAAACATTGATACTTGGGCTCGAAATAGCGGCTGATATGAAGCAACTGAGAATTAACATTTATGGAGATTCAAAGTTGATCATAAACCAAGTGTTGGGTCTATATGAACTGTAAAAGTCGGAGTTAGTCCCATATAACACCTATGCAAAGATAGTAATGCAATGGTTAGGGGATGTCACAATTGAACATATACCAACGAAAGAAAACAAGCAGGCTGACGCCTTAGCCGCATTGGCTTCAACTATTGCTCATCCTGCAGCCCGAGTGCGAGTATGTCAAAAGTTGGTAGTTCCACCAATCTTCAATGAAGACGGCTCAGTTGATGAAACTGTTGAACTCCCTACTGCCTCAGTGTATGATATTGGCAAAGACGACTGGAGGCAATCGCTAATTGACTACCTCACCGATGGAAAGTTACTCGAAGATCTACGTAAGAGGGTGGATATAAAGCGTCGAGCTCTTCGCTTCATCTACTATAAAGAGACGTTGTATCGTCGTTCATTCGAGGGAGTCTTTCTCTGATGCCTAGGGGAAGAGGAAGCTTTACAAGCTATGCAAGAAGCTCATTCTGGGGTTTGCGGTGCACATCAATCCGGTCCCAAGTTACACTTCCATATTAAGCGAATAGGCTATTATTGGCCGATAATGGTAAATGATTGCATAGACTATGCTCGAAGGTGTCAAGCATGTCAATATCATGCAAAATTTATCCATCAACCACCAGAACCTCTACACCCAACAGTTGCATGTTGGCCATTTGATGCTTGGGGACTTGATGTGGTTGGCCCAATTACGCCTAAGTCATCTGCAGGGCACGCATACATACTAGCTGCCACCGACTACTTCTCAAAGTGGGCGGAAGCTGTGGCATTGAAGGAGGTGAAGAAAGAAAATATTGCAGACTTTCTCTGTGTCCACATCATCAATCGATTTGGTATCTCGCGATATATCTTAACAGATTACGGTAAGCCCTTTGACAACAAGTTGATGGACAAGATCTGCAAGCTTTTTGACTTTAAGCAGCGAAACTCATCAGCTTACTATGCAGCTGCAAATGGGCTTGCTGAAGCTTTTAACAAGACCTTATGCAATTTGTTGAAGAAAGTGGTCTCATAGTCGAAAAGGGACTGGCATGACATATGGAAGAAGCTTTGTGGGCGTATAGAACTACATACCGCACACCTACTCAAAGAACTCTATATTCTTTGGTGTATGGTGTAGAAGCGGTCTTGCCTCTAGAACGTCAAATACCTTCCTTAAGGTTGGCTATACAAGAGGGGCTTACTGATGAAGAAAATGCTAAGTTGCGCTTAGCTGAGCTAGAAGCCTTGGATGAAAAACGTCTGCAGGCACAACAAAGCTTGGAGTGCTATCAAGCTCGCATGTCTAGAGCTTTTAACAAAAGGGTAAGGAACCGTTCCTTTCAAATTGGGGACAAAGTCCTAGCTGTTCATAGGCCCATCATTGTCACGAGAAAAACCGGCCACAAGTTCACTTCAAGGTGGGATGGTCCCTACGTGATTTTAGAAGTTTACACCGGCTGGGCCTATAAGCTAATTAGTGAAGATGGTTTGAATATCGGTCCGATTAATGGAAGGTTCCTAAAGCTTTACCATCCTTAAACTTGGGGTGTCAGCACAAGTCGCGAAATTATGACGAACGACTCCGGTCCACCAAAATGCAGCACGTGGTTAAACTGCTAATGCATCTCGCTTTGTCTATGGGTGGGCCCAAATCATAGACGCTCCTGGCCTGCATGAGTATGTAGGCAGCTTAGAATCAAATCATCTAAGTTCAGTCATAACAAAAACAAATTCAATTCATGTTCCAAGAGTGATGTAGAAGGACAATCATTCAACATGTCAATGTAAAGATGTACGAGTGATTGCTAAAATTCAAGCACAAAAAATGAGAAACATTCCATTATCAGGAGTTGAGAAAAGAAACAAAAAAAGGAGTATTGCTACCAAAAAGAGAAACTGAAAAAAAAAGCGCATCAGTCAACAAAAAGCCTAAAGCTAAGCATACCGTCTTTACAGGCTTCTAAACCTCTCTTTGTCTCCTTTAGTCGCTTTTCATCCTTAGCCGGTGACCTCTGCCTCAGGCCCCGAAATGGCAGTCTTAGCATTGCCCAGGTCGTTTGTAATTTGGCAATCGTGGTGTCGCAAATCCTTCAAGACTCGTTGACATGAGTCGAAACTATCGCATATCCTTCAAGACTCCCTGGCACGAGTCGAAATTGACTCATAGTGCCCTCTAAGAGGGCATGATGCATACTGAGTGCGACCTCAGTCCCTTCGTGGTATCCCTTGATGAAATTGAACTCACTCTTAAGGCGAAGTGTCCATGCCATTTCCCTAAAGTCGGGAGCATATCTGAATATTCCAGATGCCATGACCCGAATTGCAGAGCCCATGTTCTGACCCGAATTGCAGAGCCCATGTTCTGAGGACTAAGTTTCGGTATCAAAAGTCTAGTTCTCCACTCAAAGCCGTGGCTGGAAGGGGTTCTTGGTGAGACATGTTGTCTTTTCCAGTCTCATTGCTCGACACTATGAGTTTTGTCTTGTCAGATTCCACCACCATTATTGAAAATGAATGGTTCTTGATATATGAAGTCGCATTAACAATCAAGGGGCAAGTCCAAAAACGTCAACAAGGGAAAACGTTTTGAAGATTGGGCTCAAAGAAAATTGCCATAAAGGCGTTAAAAGGAAATTCTCATGTCACAATATGTGCACAAGACAACCGATATAATATATATTTATGTATACACATATCACGTATATATATCATATATTATGTACGTGTATACATAGCATATATTATGTGCATACATATATATGAGTCGCAAGGTGGAAGCCAAAGATATATGTATATATAACTATATATATATTATCACATGGACCAGTGCAAAGCAAAACACATGCTGCGTATATATGTGTAATGTGTTCACACTTCATACACACTACCCAAAGCAACCTTGTATGAATATATTATATAATATATGTATATATATTATATATCATAGGCAACCACACGTGACACACTACATGCATACCTAAACTACATGCAAATGCAAGCAACTACACTTGGAGTCTTGGACAACTTCATATATGTGGAAGGTGTATGTGTATATATTATACATACATGCTCAAGTGGAGTATTAAAAGAAGCAAGAGGCGTGATTCTACACTGACACACGCAATAAATAAGAAATTCCCAACAGACACGTTAAAAGAAAAGGACAGGGCACCTGGCTCTATGTGGTTCTTCTTCGGTCATTGCTGCAAAAACAAGATGCTTTTATTTCCTTTTTGATGTTCCGATAGTTCTCCTTCTCTGTCAACAAGCTCAGCCCAGAAGCAGAGAAGACGAATTAAAGCAAAAGAAAACTCCATTCATTACTTTGGTACATTTGTAACGGTTTCTTCTACCCTGCCGGTGAATGCAGCGAATCCTCAGCAAACATTATTCTCTGTCAAGTTCATCTGCGGCACTCTACTTTTCTGGCGATGATTCTATGATGCATGAACTCCTGAAATACGCCGAAAGCAAAGTAAAAGACTGTTATATGAGCCTTTCAATTCGAGAGCTTCCTCCATGAATATCAATGCCAGGAATTGTTCCATCTTCTCCGTCGATGAACCGACAGCAACTCGCCGGAGCACGGAGACTATCCAATAGCCTTCCTCTCCAAATGGCGTCATTGTCGACAGCCATTAGCATCCTTGTAACACCCCAAAATTTTGGAACTTTTTAAAACTTATATAATAAAGATAAATCCTCATTAAATCCCGAAATATAACATAAGAGTATGGGGTGCTATGCCACACCTGAGCTAGAGAACTCAGGTGCACAGGCTAACTAACTAAAATCCTCAATGATGTTAATACATAAGCATGACACGCAGGCCAAAAAGGAAAACTACTACTCTACGCTCCAAATCTCTAGCGCGCTCCAGTGTCTACTCATCTGTGCCTGAAAGCCAAATATATCTGTTCAGCGAGAGATGTTGGTAACCCACTCCAATGCGTTGAAATACATTATATATATATATATATATATATATATATATATATATATATATATATATATATATATATATATATATATATATATGAAAAATCATTTTGAAGCAGGAAGATAAATACTTAAGAGACTCTAGCTTTTAAAAACGGGAATGGACTCAGCAAGTAGGGATAAACACATCAAACAGTAATGAGCAGTTTAAGTAGAGATAACATCATAAGGAATACGAATCAAGGTCACAGTTCACTTTCCAATTCCATCACATCAATATTCATTCATCATTCATAGCATATAACCCTTGATGGCGCCACGGGACCAATCGCATGCCCCGAACATGAGGGTTAACGCTTATAGCATTAACACGGCCCCGCAGCACCCTGCCTCAGTACCGCGGTATGTGTGACACCTCAAAAATCCACATTCAATCCATGGATTAATTGCGTAATTAATCCTATTTCATTTGAGGAATTAATTTCTAAAATCCTGATTTTTAATACTCAAGGACTAGTATTTGACTAGTCAATCTTTAAGTTGTGTTGTACCTTGAGCTTTGAGAGGAGTTCCCTTGTTCCTTACACTTTCTAAAGCTTATTAAGGGTATTCTTAATTTTCACCAAGAGTTAGTATTGTAACTTAACCTAGAAGACTTCTTCATTTCATTCCTTACAATTCTTAGAAATTAGCTCTACCTTTTCTCTAGAAAAGAAGTGTATCTTATTCTCCAAACTAAGTTGAGACCCTTGTCAAGATTCCAAGATTCAATCTTTCACCTATTTGGGCATCTAGGAGGGTAAGATCTAAGTCTATCTTGTGTTTTTGGTTCCATCTTAGTTGTCTTTTTCTTAAAGGTAGGATCTTTTGTTGGTCCCAAAAGAGGTAAGGTGAAAGTCTAGAGGGGGGGGGGGGGGGGGGTGAATAGAGTTTCAAACTTTTTCGCACAGCACAACAATTGCTAAGCCAGAGATAAACCAAAACTCTTAACTAGATTGTTAGAGTATGATGCACAGCGGAATTAAATAAACATAAAGTGTGTGTGAGATTGTGTGAGCAGTATATCTCGTGTAGAGCAATTAAGTAAAGAGTAGTATGTAAAGAAAGCAGTAAAGAACACAAGACAATTATAGTGGTTCGCGAGGTGGTGTAATCCTCCTACTCCACTTGCTCTTCTCTCCAAGAGCAATTCACTATATCTACCACTTCTTGGTTCCAAGATACAATGAATTTCCGTGATCTAGTGCTTTGATCACAAAGCCCGCACTAATCACGCCCAGTGACACCACACTATTGCTTCGGGTTTCACGTCGCCGCACTACTATCCCAAGATTTCACGACTCCGTGTTACTTTCCCCTTGTCTTCCACACTCCGGTAGAAACGTATCCTGTGATCTAGTGCTTTGATCACAAAGCCCGCACTAATCACGCCCAGTGCCTCCAACACTGCTGCTTCGGATCTCACAACTCTGTGTGACAATCCAGGATTTCACAGCTCCGTGCTACTTTCCTCCCTTCTCTTGTTTTGCTCCAAAACAAGTGTTGTCTTGCTTCCAACTTCTGAGACTCTGTAGATGATCTTCAATGATGCGCAGGTCTCTTTGATGAAGATAAACACTCTGGAATGATTTCTCTTGAAAGCTCTGAGTGTTTTCTCTCTTTGAGTGTATCAAGTAAAGCACTTGATTTTTATGCTCTGTTTTGCTCTGTTTAAGAACTCTCAGAATATTTTCTTTGAAGCTCTCTGAGTTCTTTTTCTTTTCTCACTTCTCACTTGAAGATTTTTGGTATGCTCTGTGCCAAATGAGATTTTTGCTCTATTGCTCTATTCGTTCCCCTGCATCTTCAAGTCTTCATATCTTCATCATTTTATAGCTGGTAATGAGGATCTGCCCGTTGGAAAGAGACGATCTCATTTTTGAAATATTGTATCTTTTGTCAGAGATCTTATCTTATCTTTTGCAAAGATGTCAGAAAGGATAAGCTAGCCGTTTGAGAGCTTGAACTTCATACGAATGGTTTCCCAAACTTCATCTGATATTCCTCTGGTTTTACGTTGAGTGGAAATGTCTGGATGTAGAACGGCTTCTCTGA